CACACCCAACCCAGTTCTGAGGAATCAGAATCAACGTTGAGTTTAAGCGAGCGAATGAGCCAATTGGAATAAAGTGCCATGCAGATTTAAATTTTTCCCACTTGTGACGAATGCAGCTATCGATTTTTTTTTTTTTTTTTTTGCATGCTAACATACTAGTTAACATTCGTGTCAGTCAGCTGCTGGCTCTTACGCTGGCCAATAGACTCTTCCTGCTTATTCGTGGCAGCCAGCTATTGGCTCTCACTCTGGCCAGTACAAAATGACCGCAAACTATAATAAAACTGCCGTAGAAGCATGAAAAAAAAATCGATTATTTCCACTATTGATGGGAGTTGGGAAATGCAAAGTCGGTCTTGGCCTTCCTGCTAACTTGAAGCATGTGCGTGTAAATATGGTGCAAATCCGTTGAAAATGCGGCCGTGCATTCGTTACACACACACACACACATCCTATATATATATATATATATATATATATATATATATATATATATATATATATGTGTGTATATATATATGGGGGTGTGTGTGTGTGTGTTTATGTGTGTGTAATAGCGCACAGTGAATTCTGGTGGTAATAAAACAGTGTTTGGTATGTAATAGCTAAAATTTATAATGATATAAAATCTATACTGGCAGAGCTAAATTTTATACTAATCTAATTTTATACAGTATTTACATTAGTCGGACTATTGTCCTCCTCTTTGCCGCCATATTTGTCACAACGTTTCATTGTACGCTCCGGCCTTCTTTAGGTGGTTGGAATTTAGAACTGAACCCTTTATTTCGATCACTGGGGTAGACTGCTCTCGTTCCACGTGCCATGTTTGATAGATGTCAGTTATCAGTTATCTCCTGCTAATTTTCCCTCCTCTGAAAGTTCTCCACTGCCTTAACCGCCGGGTATTGAACTCACACTCTTTGGGTCTGTCACTAATCAACGCCTTTATCCACTGTGCCATGTGTCCTTGAGGATATCTGGGTATGAATTTCTGGGTATTATAAACCTAATGTTTTCAGCATCATTTTTTACCAGTGCTCATATTGCAATTTTGCTGTTATCATTGCATGATTTTACCAGAGCTCATATTGCAACTTTGTTATCATTGCTTTTCTCTGGCACTCCTTATTACTGGTTCCCATATTGTATTCATTTCTATGCTTGGTCGGCTCAGGAGATTTTTGTGGCCTAGCATATGTGCTGATTCCTTAAGTTTACGAACTTTCCAGTGCTGTCTATGATCTCAACATGATCCCACAGGGGACGGTGATCTCCCTTCTCTCTCCATATGTAGTCAGCCACGCCTGATTTTTCTACTTCCCCTCGCGTTACAGCTTTCTGGTGTTCTTGAAGCCTTACCTTGAGGGGACGGCCTGCCTCTCCTTTATATTCCTTTCCGCAGCTGCACAGTATAGCGTACACACAGTCTTTAGTCATGTTCTCCTCTATGGGGGGGTCTCACTCGAGAGAGATATCTGCGAAGTGTCGTCAAGCTTTTGAAGGTTGTCCTGATGTTATATGGACCGCAGATCCTTTGTATTTTCTCTGATAACCCCTTCACATAAGGCAGGCAGACTGTTTTTTGAGTGTTGTTGTCCTCCTCCTCCTCCTCCTCCTCCTCCTCCTCCTCCTCTTGTACCCGCCTATTCCAGTTTCTGGGTGTTGCTGCCATGTACCCAGGGTTGTTGTTACGTTGTAGGGTACTACTTATACTGACCAATTCCTTATCTAACGTCTCTGGGTCGCCACTTATGACTTTTGCTCGGTGTTGTAAGCAACGGACGATCTCTTTCTTTACGCTGTATGGAAGGTGGGAGTTGAAATTGAGGTACTGTCCGGTGAATGTTGGTTTACGGTATACGGACGTCTTGAACCCATGCTCTGTTCGAGATATTAGTACATCCAGGAATGGGAGTGTGTTATTACTCTCTTTCTCCATTGTGAACTGTATCAAAGGTCTTATTGAGTTCACATGGTCCAGTAGACCCTGGACATCTTCCTGGTGTGGCCAGAGTATGAAGGTGTCATCTACGTACCTTAACCATATAGTTGGCTTTAGAGATATAGATTCTAATGCCATTTCTTCAAAGTATTTCATGTATATATTCGCCATTGCTGGTGATAATGGCGAGCCCATTGCTAAGCCCTCATCCTGTCGATATATGTGTAACCCCATTCCGAAGTGTGTTGTTTGTGTACAGAAAGTCAACATCTCCATCAGATTATCTATTGGAATACTGGTCCGTTCTTCTAGGGAAGAGTCAGAGGCCAATCTGTCTCTGACTACTTAGAGTGCCTCCTCCATGAGTACCTTGGTGAACAAATTCACCACGTCCAAGCTCACCATCTGGTTGGATAGGATGGGAGCATCTTTGGTTATTTCCACGAAGTGGGCGGAGTTTCGGACATATGAATTTAATACATTATTATTACATAATATAAAAATAACATCTAAATATAAAAGCGTATAAGTCGCTGGATGTAGCTTAGATGTAACGCAGAGGAGCTTTCTCCTACTAGATTTTAAGGTTTTTATTTAATGGTGATGGTTTTGATAAGCTAATACAATACAAAGCCTCGAATCAACTCAAGGTATAAAGTTACTGACTGGGATTATAAGAGAGAGGGACGTAATAGAATGTTATGAGAACGAGTAGAATAAATATTGATTGACCCTGATTGTAGTTGATAGGAAAGCATTCACTAGGGAGTTTGTTCCACAAAGTAAGAGTGTTAAGGAAGAAGCAGTCTGACTAGAATAGCGACAATATCAAAGGAACACGAAGAGAGTGGGGTAGTTTACCAGCGTAAATGGCGTGGCAGGTCCTATCCGTGAAGGCACTTAGGAATGTAACTGGTCCGAACTAATAGATATATAGTAGTGAAAGGCTGCCGTCATTTCGTCTGTGGGGGAAGGGTTGCAAGGTGGAGAGTAATTCATCACCCACAAAGTTGCGTAAGTGCTTTTGAACTCTATGGAGGCTGGGCGGTAAAGAATGGACAACACTAGCCCAGATATGACAATATGCCTTTCTTTGGTCTGATCTGACCAAAAAAATAAATAATAAAATTACTTCCTAAAATTAAACAATATTTTAGTTAAAAATAACTTCTTAATTAACGACATTATCTTAAAGATTGTTTTATTTTTTTTATTTCCGGATAGTTCACAATATAAAAGGCCCAAGAGCTACTCAAGGTAGATTATTGTAAGGGACGGAGAAAGGATGAAGTGAGAAATTCATATTATAAGGACGTGTAAGATAAATATCGTTTGACCATGGACATAAAGAGACCAAGATTGCTGTTGTCAAGGAAGCATCATCTTGGGAGTCTGCTCGCCAATGCAATAGTTCTGGGGATGACGCTATCTGAGTAAATCTTGCTCTTTATCAAAGGATCACAAAGGAAACGGGAATTGTTCGCCATCGTGATTATGGTATGACGGGTCCTAGCTTCGACTGTTTGATCTCTTGGAATTAAGGAACGTAACTCGTTTGAAAATTTGCCCTAGTAATCGTGATATAGTGAGAGACTAGCAACGTTTCGTCAGTGTGATAAGGGTCGCAGACTGGGGAACAATTAATTACCTATCTACATGATCAGTGCAGGTTTAGGATTCTGCTCGGTGCTGATGAAATGTTACGAGTTTAGTTTTTGATTTATTGTATGAGAAAATATATAAATAATCCAAAAACAGTTTTCAAAAATACAGTGACAAAAAATTGTCGATCTTGTGGAACTGAAGACGTACAATGGTTATTACTGATGAAATAGAAAATAGATCGAATAAACGTAAGAGACGCTTGCAAGTAGAGATTAACAAGCTATTTTCGTCCACCATTACTATTGTAGCGATTTCGATCCTCACTGGGTGACCCAAACTTGTGGCTTTACCCCGTGCTATTCTAAGCTTAGCATCGTATGCGGCTCACACCAGATGATACGGGAATAGATTTTGCACTCAGTGTCCTTCAGAAAAGCCAGGTGCAGGGATGTCGTCCTAACTGGGATTGGTGATTCGCGTCTCACCCGATGTCAGTAGCTGCTCAGAAAATGCAAACACGAGATCAACCCAGTTGCGCTGTGCATGAGTAAGGCGTGTAGGGAAAAATACAGAAGACTAGTGGATATATAAACACTCATCCGAGAGAGTGTTTTACTTCAACACGTTCGGTGAAGGATCCAAGGCCACACGCACACACATGGCCGGCGATAATTGACGAAGTCCAGGGTTGAATAAAAATGCAATGTTACGTATTAGATATTCATGAACATGTTTTCATTGGTCAGGAATAAAACAAACGATAGTATTACATTAATAAATATCTCAAATATTTGACCCCTAGCTTCCCGCTGTTTTATTTTCATGGCATATGTCCAGACGAGCTACATTCCTTATTTGAATCAATCCAACCGCAGCTGAAACCGTTCGTGTTGCGTAAGTAGGATCGTCTCAGCCACATTCCCCTCGTATTCCACTGATAAAGAGGATTTTCCACTCAGACAGTTTCTTCGCCGGAACAGTTAATTTGTGGAACAGTCTCCCGAGGGGATGCTTCCTGGATCTCTACCATCTTAACCTCTACAAGTCTAAGATCAGCCGTTATCTATTCTACATGTCCTCATTTCTTACATCCTCTTTTTACTACTTTGCATCAATTCAGTAAGCCTCTAACTTGAGTGGCTCTTAGGACTTGGTTAATTCGTTTTCTATCGCTTATCAACCTTTTGCATGTTATCTAAAGACTGAAAGTATTTTTAGATTGTAAGAAGTTTTTTTCTTTTTTGGGAGGGGGGGGGTAAAATGATTTAGTGATTCAAGTCTTACCAATTAACCCATAGCTAGAGCGGAGGAGGAGGATTAATACCTTTTCAAAGGAAATTTGCGGGTCGGTGAATATAACGAATCCAACTAAAATTGGAACTAGGCTGTCCGATTAACAATTGAAGCCGTTATCCAATACACCACCCGCACTTCCAAACCTGTAGATTATGGTATTCCCAAGCGGTCACTCATCTAGGTGCTGACCAAGCCCGACGTTGCTTAACTTCAGTGATTGTACGGGAGCTGGTGTTTCAACGAGATACGGCCATAAGCTAATATCACTGGTACATCCAAGCTTACAGCAGCTGATATTCCCAAGCGGTCACTCATCTAGGTACTGACCAAGCCCGACATTGCTTAACTTCAGTGATCGTACGGGAACTGGTGTCTCGACGAGATACGGCCATAAGCTATATCACCGGCACATCTAAACTCACAGCAGCTGGTATTCCCAAGCGGTCACCTATATAGGTACTGACCAGGCTCGATGTTGCTTAACTTCAGTGATCGTACGGAAACTTGTGTTTCGACGTTATGTGGCCGTATCTGGACTTATATTGAGTGAACAATATTATAAACTAGCAGTAGAGCCCGGCGTTGCCCGGTGATGTAACAGTAAGTGATAGATCAAGTATCGACCATCATAAAGACTGAAAAATAAAATTGACAAAGATTATTGTTTAAGGTTGATAGACACGCATGTCTTAATTATTTTTTTTTATGAATTGGTCAAACCCAAACTCAAACAAAAACATTGTTTTCAATCGTTATGAGTCTATCGATTGAATAGAATTTTATTATAAACAATTGTCTTGTAAATGGAATTTTTAAAGCATTCTGAATGTAAAAATAAAGAAAAAAGTGTGAAAGACAATAAGAAACACTACCTGCCAAAAAAAAAAGTGATGTTTTGTTGAAATCGGTTGAAAAATGTAGGAAATCCGATCCCATATATAAACGAACATACACACACACACACACACACACACACACAAACAACCTGGGTTTTATAATAAGTATAACTCGATATGAGTTGTCCCCCTTTCATTCTCGTGATGCCTCTTAATCGTGTTTTCAAATTGATTTCGTTCAAAAATAATTGTGTTTTTCCAATTTTTGTTGCTGTTAGAACCATCGCAAGGCAATTTTATGTGAAGTTTTGTTGAAATCGGTTGAAAAATGTAGGAAATCCGATCCAATATATAAACGTACACACACACACACACACACACACACACACACAATCTGCGTTTTATAATAAGTAAGATTTTTCTACAAATCATTCTTTGTTGCTACTAAAAAAAAATGAAGCAACTGATTTTTTTTATTCCCCCTACCCAACCTTTGATTAGTGCTTTGCCTAAAAATAAACAATTTCAGTAGCAAACTATTTAAATAAGAACAATTCTCTGAAGCGTTCCACTGACATGAACCAACAGCAAGCCACAGAGTAAATCATTAAAAAATATTTCTATTTCTGTCAGTCTGACTGAATGAATGAAGGAATGAATGAATGTACAAGTGAATGGAATTCAGTGAACTATCAAAACATTTATGGGTCATGTAACATCAAGTATTTTCTTGGTAAACAATATTATCGCTTTTACACACTTGTCAAAGTCAGAAATGTCTTCTTACCAAGCGCAGTGTCTTATCAAGAAGTTTGCAAAGTTGAATATTGAGTGACGATTGCTCGTTTCCAAGTAACCCCCCCCCCGAGTGGCTATCTAATCCCTGTTGCAGACGCTTGCTCAGGCATATATATGACTTCTCAAAACCTACTGAGCTAACATGCAGTTTATACTGAAACTATGATGAGCAAACCTTAGTTACAGTTTCTGGTTGTTTTTGATTTGTTTTTGTTTTTTTACGGCTTATCACCCTTTTGCATATTAGAACCAGAAAATATTTTTAGACTGTAAGAATTTTTTGAAGATAGCAACGGTTCACTGATACAAGCCTTACTAATTAACTCAGAGAAGTGGGGGAAGAGATGGATTCATGCCTTTCTCAAGGGTATTTGCGAGTAAGTGAATATAACGAACCCAACAGGAATTGGAACTCGGCTCTCCGATTAACAATTCCAAGCCGTTATCAATTATACCACACGCACATCCAAGCTTACAGCACCTAATATTCTCAAGCGATCACCCTTCCAGATTCTCATCTTGCTTAACTTTGATGATCGTGCGAGTTTCAATGTGATATAACCATAAGGCCACAGTTTCTGGGAGAGAGACCATAATCTGACGCGATTGGTAGTCTAAACACGGCCAGTACGTTCAAAGCTTCGGGCGTGGGAACACAAACATCAACGGTTTCAGATCAGTTTTGTCTACTCGATTTCGTACTCAGGGTTTAAGTCAACTGACCATATATTTTTCAGCCACTTTCCAACAGGCTAATATTATTTAAAAAAGACGCTTTCTAAATAAACCGACCCTGGCGAGATTCGAAACAGGAGTCTCATGGTTGAAAATCATAGCGTTTGAACTACTTAGCCATCACTTGGTAATGTTATTTTAAACAAACAATCAACCGAGACTATATCTGATTATTATAATGTATACGTCCCTGGCACAGGCCTAGTAAGGCATTATGGTAATTTACCCACGCACGCATAGACTCTCACAGCTATAAATAGGAGCAGGTACTGCCTTTTGGAGAGGGAAGATTCCAGCCGCCAACTCTAACAGCCGGACCGAACATTCTTGCTGTAACACTTTTGTTTGTATATGTTTGTATTACTGTTTCTGTTAATATATTTGTTTAACTCAATTCCTCTCTTTGTGTCTATATTTCTGGTCCTAACAAGGCCACAACATAAGGTTTACCATCTCTCAGTTGGGTCTCTGTTCTCAGGCAGTGTGCGACTCAGTTGCAGCTCTGACCGCGGGAACAGATGTCCGAGAGGAAGGATCAGTAGTCGCTACCCGAGGACAGTGCTACTAACAGTTGCGGGGGCTGGGCAATTGTTGTCCTTGGCTCGAGTGTACACACTCGGTTTCCCCACATTAAACCCAACCTTGTGTTACATCCCGTCT